TATACCCTAGAGGTGTCTCTCTCATGCTCATATATATATATATATATATAATGTATAATCGGTGAGTCTTTGCCGAGTCCAAGACCGGGCATGTCGATAGCAGGCATCAGCGGCCGGCCGCTCGTCGGTTCGCCTCGGTCTCAGACAGAGGAAGTTCCCTCCCTCTGGGGGTGTGGGACGGCACCTGAGAGCTCCAGCCTTGGAGCCGTGGGGCGAGTCGGAGAGCCACTTTGCCAGGTTTCTGCATCATGGGGCTCACATATCTGGCACGTCTGTCATACAGCTATGAGCACAGGGCATGCAGGGGCTCCCATGATCCCATGCCGTGTTGGTAACGTGCCGGCAACACTGCGGGCAGCCCTCGAAGCTTTCGAGCGTCATCTGCCCTTGACTCACTTCCCCCGGAAAAGTGGTGCAGCTTCCTTGAGACCTCGACAGGAGGGATAGATCGAATTCGCCGACTTCAGCTGGAGAGCCACTTGAGCCAACGGGCGACGGACAGCGATCTGCCTGAACCCTCCCAGGCCCTGCGGCGATCAAAGGTCCAGAATGCGCACTGGATCTTTTAAACTTCAGTCCGAGTCCGGGTGACTTGGTCAAGTATGATATGTGTTGGCGCACTTCGAAGACCGATCTCGCAACGGCCCGATGAAGCGCTTTGAAGCAGGGATATGTAGAATCTTGCCTTGGCATCCTCTACCCGTCTGAATTACCAGAAAACCCTGTCAATGCCGAGGTTGCTTCCTCCTAGGAAGCAGTCGTAGTGATGTGAAACAAACGGGAAGACTCATCATTTGGGTGCTTCTTGCTGTCGGCCCAGGTCTGGGGTTTCTTCGTCCGCGGTGATGCCTTCATTTTTAGTTCCGCCATGTTCCTCCTGTGGCTCTTGTCCATCGGCTCTGTTTTTACATGCGGCAATCAGCATAGCGGCAGCAACCGGCAGAAGTACCAAGGCAAAGAGGCCCAGAAGTATGTACCAAATGCAATCGAAGAGCACAGCGAAGATCGCCCAAAAACCTTCGTTCAACTGCACCAACGCATTCCCAAGGAAGTCACCAGTACTCTTCAAGGGAAGCAGGACAGGGGTTGCAAACGAGCCGTCCAGGTCTGCGCCGGCATGGACAGCAGCACACACCACCACGGACAGCACCAGCCATAATGACACAGCAGCCACAGATGCCTGAACAACCATCCTCACGCACTTGGTCTGCAAGGTCTCGACAAGCTCTTCTCCATTGTCCGTCCGAACCAGTGCGGCTAGCTCGCCGGCCGGTTCCTCCATAGCGCTTGTGCGTGATCGGCTGTTGGGATATCAGCTGAAGTGGGAAATGCCAACTTGTCAACTGTGGTGATTTGCTGAAGCTGTGGGCAGCTAGGCCTGTTGCCGAAACCCCTTAACCAAAACCAAACCGGCCATACCTTCCAGAAAGAAAGGACTAAACAGCGCAGCGGACATCGCGGAACGACCCTCGCACACTCACAAACTTCCGGCTGGAACTGGGGAAAATGCCATTCCGATGATTGTTCCCTGAAGGGACGTCTCGCCATGGTGGTACCTGGCATACCACAATGAACCCTTAAATTTCGGACTCGCTTCCGTTGACAGGAGCGCACGCACTCTTCTCGGCCACGAAACCCGAGAGCTGGGCAACCTGGGCAAGGCCAGCATTTCGCTCGTGGCGGGGCATGGCACCCACGACGCGGTCTGCAGGAACTCATTGAATTCGTGTGCCTTCACCTCATTTGTGAGCTTTTTCAAGAAGGCTCCGAAGAGGACCTGGCATGTGTGGTCTCGGATGCGGCTTGTAGCTGCTTGTGGTGGGGCTTGTCATGGCAGCAACCCGGCATCCTCGGGCCTTGCGCTGGCCTGGCTTCAGCCCGTCCACCATGCTTGGGATGGCCCTTTCCACGTCGTACTTGGCCCAAAGGACCAGCTCCTCCAAGAGTCAAGAGCAGATTGCCCTCATGCATGAACCCACACCTCTAGAAAGGGCCCGGATCTGTAGGAAAAAAGGTGTCCAAAGCCTTGTTGACGAAGTCATCGTAGGAGAGAGTCGGCTGGGACTCGGAACAGGCGCACATTTGATTACCCTTGGAGGTGCTGCTGTATAATACCAATAGAATATAATGTAGTAGAATACAGTATAGTAGAGTACAATGCAGTATAGTATAGTATAGTATAGTATAGTATAGTATAGTATAGTATTGTATAGTATAGTATAGTACAGTATAGTATAGTATAGTATAGTATAGTATAGTATAGTATAGCAAAGTATAGTACAGTATAGTCTAGTCTACTCTAGTCTAGTCTAGTATAGTAGAATGTGAAAAGATAAGGCTCCCTCACCCTTCACTTGGAGTACGACATGGTTGACGTAGACTTCGGAAGAGCAGTTGCCAATCCACTCCTCGACGCTTGGGCGGCTCCATCCCCTATCCTGCACTACCACTTGGAGGACCATGGGACTTAGTAAGCAAGGTTATAAGTCCCCCTAATTGGGGTAATAAGTACAGTTACCTTAGTTATAACCCTACTTACTAAGTCCCATGATCCTTTAAGCAGGCATCCACGCAACTGCGATTTTTCCGCAATGTATAGGACGCACCCCATTGCAAGAATGGATATAGACGAGAGCCAATGATCTGGGTTTTGGAAGGTAGGCCGCCTGTCTCTACATGAACTCCCTGCCATTCCGATCATTCCGCTCTCTGTGTGAGAAAGTGGTGCCCCAGCTCACAGCCAGATCGTCAGCACGCACGGGAGTCTCCACCTGACCAGTAAGGGCCAAGCATGCCCTGAGATAGGGCGATCAGCATTGCATCATTCCACCAAATCCTCTCTGAGAAAGCATAAGACAAGTAGAGCGATAGATAGGTGAAAACGCAGGCGCGCATGAGGTATGCAAAGGGACAGAGAGCAAGACAACAAAAAAGGCATGCAGGCGCGTGGTTACGAATACAAACACTAATGACTGACATGGGAATCATAGCAGCAACACAGAACAGTAGCGCTAGACTGATGGGAAAAATCAGGACATCATCTCGTGGGTGTAAGGCTTCTGCTCCTGCCACGCCGTCAGCCGTCTTCCACGCGCATCACCTCGCGTTGAAGGCGGCCAGGGAGGAGAACGCAAGAACGGTGTCCATTGAGCCGACCAACTCTGCCCAAACAAAATCGTGCTCCCGTCCTTGGGTGGGGGCGTCGATGGACTGCGCGCAAGCTGCCTGGAGGCTTGGGACACTGCCGGCTACCCACGTGATCAAATATAGAAACACGGCTAGTTGAGGACGATGCTCAATGTCAGGCGTAGGCTCTGCAGTTGTCGAAAGTTCCGGAGGACTCGGTGGATCCTTGCGCTTCGCAGATGCAGGGTCCGACTGCATCTGCAGCCTTCGCCAGGGCCTCGGCTCTGGCCATGAAGTCTAAACCCTGAACCCTAAACCCTAAACACATGGGGGTTTCCGAAAATAAGGACCCTAATATAGTACCCTAAATAGTAGGATCCTTATTATAAGGACCCCAAAATAAGGTACCCCTTATTTTCGGAAACTCCCACATTGTTATCTTGAAAAGAAATGCAAGGTCTTTTGGTTGACGTCATGATGGGAAAGGCCCGGGCAGCACCGGCGCAGGCACCAAGGCTTCCAGTGGGCACCTGGCACTACCATCGGCCACCCCTCCCCCCCTTTATGGCACAGCAAGTGACGGCGAGGAGGGCTCTGCCATGTCTGCGATCACGGCTCCCAACACCGGGGCAAACTCCGAGCCCCAGCCCCAACCTCGAAAGATGGCTCTGTTCTGCACCCCTTGCCCCGATGCTCAGCTGGACCTAGGAACCGGGGAGCAGGCCCCATTCTTTGTCCCAGTGGAAGATCCGGAAATCCCACTCTTTCTGGGAGATCTGGTCAATCCTCCGAGCAGACCGCCGCTCCAGGCCCCGTCCGTCGCTCGTTTCCCCGGGGTCCCAGCCGAAGGTTCAAGTGGGCATAGGCTTGGACCTCAGAAAGTTCTGCAAAAGCCCCATACACCAAGCCCATAAGCGCTGAGCCCCATGCTTGACTGGACGACCCCGCTGCGGGGTAGGCGACCTGCCATCGCCAGACTATGACTATGGAAACCAGTACGGGGCCCCCGGTTTCTGGGAGCGGCCTGAGAGCACTGCAGCGGTAGGCCCTCCGTCATTGATCCCACGATGTTCACGTAGACCTCGCTTTGGGGTTTGGTTTCGAGTTCAGGGTTTGGGCTGTCAGACGGTGGTCGTTCCAATAGGTCCGAGCGGCGCAAATCCCAGCCTGGCATCCAAGAGCGAACATCACAAAGGTCTAGAGCCCTAGTGAGTTACCTGCGCCGTCTGTTTGCGTTCTCATGGAGCGGCACTGGAAACTTACTTTGCTGCCATAGGGCCCCTACTGTCTTTCTCCCATGCTGGTGAAGAATTATTTGCCAACTGCTAAAAACGTCTACCAGGTTGTCTCATGCGGCCACGTGGTGATATGACGGTAGGAGTGTATTTTTGCAGCTGCGGCGTTTTTGCTGTTGCTGCTGGGGTTTTTTTTGTTTGTTGTTGCTCCGGGGGGGTGTTTTTTTGCTGTAGCTGCCGGATGGGGGTCTTGTTTTTGCTGTTGCTGCGGGTGGATTTGTTTTTGCTGTTGCTACAGGGGGGTGTTTTTTGTTTTGCTATTGCTGCGGGGGGGTGTGTTTTTTTGCCGTTGCTGCGGGGAGGGTGTTTTTTTTGCTGTTGCTGCGGGGTGGTGTTTTTGTT